AAAACACCCTTAAAGCAGCAATGTTTTAATCACTCCATTTTATTTACTCTCCTCCGGTGTCACTTATAATTGTAACTTCTTATTTTTTAATAATGAGGGATTTTTTTTTCTCCTTGCATCACACAAAAAAGTGCTGTCGATAATTAGCAGTCTTCTGTTATTAGTAGACTCAGGTGTCACAACTGTGTCTCATCCTCATTACAGTAAAAAATTTCACCTATCAGATTCATTATTGCTAGATAATGCGACTGAGAGCCTTTGCAGGCCCTCCAGAAAAGTAATTCAGCCAAGCAAAATTATCAGCTAATTATATTTAGAATCAAAAGCCCAACAACTATTTGCAGATAAATTGTATGAATTGAAGTGAATAGATCTGAATATTAAGATTCATAGATTTAGCAGATGATTTGTTAATTGGAATAAAAAGGTCATTTGCTAGTCATTTTAACAATAGATCAATTGGAACCCTATTTATTATTTAACTGGTAGTGCATAAGAATTGAAATGATGAATAATTGTATTACTGTCATGAGATGATAATTTTCTTCAAAATAACAAAATATGAGAAACTTAGAAGGAATTTTATAAATTTCTTTTAAAATATTGTGGCAAATTTAATATATTTTAAAACACAGTCTTGATATAAATAATGTGTATAATAAGGTTTAATATTTTAGAGGTCAAAATTATAACCAAAAATGGTGATTGTTTTTTTTCTTGATGAATTAGAAATATAACCACGAAGAAGATAATTTACAAATAAAAGTTGGAATCCAAATTTGTAAATTTTTTTTCTTCCTAAATCAAATAATGCCATTCCTCTCTCACTGTATTTTAATTAGCAGAGGTTTTTTTGGAAATGGCAGAGTACATGCTCATACGATGACTCAAAATGTAACTTGGCCTGCAGTTTTCTTTCGGGGAACAGAACACTCTAATTCAAATCCATTATTAAAAAGCAGATAACGTGCACTTTCTGAAATGCCTGTGACTTCACTCTTTTGATTTTATATAATTATAAGAGAATGTTCATATGTATTTGCTTTTCGATTGGCAAAGCATTTTAAAACTGAGTGTCTTCAGATAAAGTGCATATTTTCTTTTTGTTCATAAAGAATATCCCCAGTTTATGTGCTCAAAACTTTTGTGAATGTTTTATAATGCAGTCACAGTGCACAGTTTTATAGCTGTGCTTATGATAAGAATTTCTATACATACCCTATTTATGTAAAAAAGAATATTAGATATTAGTTTGGATTTTGAAATTAATCATTGGTAACTAGATCCTGTGCCTTTCCACTGTGTTATCTGGTAACTGCTAGCAGTTCTTAAGCAAAACTTTGAACTCAGTGTTTTTCCAAACTTTGCAGCTCAAAGTAAATACTTTTCATTTAAACTAATTTCAGTTATAAAATAGGGAAAACATCACCCACTTAAAAACAGCTTAAATTGCATGTACTTTGTCGCTGTAAATAAACAAGGTAAACATTGACATAACTTCAAACTATTCTTGGGTTGAAAAAAATCTGCAGTTCAAAATAAAATTCTGCCTTTGGTCAACATTTTGGATGCAATTCAAAGTTTCTCATAAAATAAACATATTTTAAAGAGTGTTTTGAATTTCACTGCATAATTCCTAGCCAACAGAAATTACAGTGGTATCTTTAAGGTTTATTGTATGTCAGATCAATAGCCATTATGCAGGGCTAACACAGCCATCAAGATGCAATACCTTTCTTGTACTTAACCCTTACCGCTATGACATGAAGAAAAACTTCCTATAGGTAGGTGGTCCCTGGGGAAATCCTCTCACAAAGTGAAACTTTCTTGTTTCTTTGTTTAATAATAGCAGTATTCTTTTTGGATAAAATGGAAAATGAGCTGAATTTTGAGTCAAGAAAGCAAAATATTCATTAAGGTAATCTTCATGAGAGTTTTTCAGTAAAAGGGGGGAATAGTTCTATATCCTGCCTAATAAGTAACTATTCTGAAGCTTTAGCTTAAAATGAAAATGCCCCATCACAACAGATTGTAAATTTTTTTCTGATGCTTTTAAAAGTGCCTCGATGATTTCTACAGCTACAGTGTTAAAGTATTTGCTATTTTATTTAAACATTTTGAAAAATGAACATTCTGGGGCTTTGCAGCATTATTAAGAAAAGCTGTCCATACTTTACCATGTTGTTACATGTGTTTATCTGCTGATTATAAAATGTGTTAAACAGTATTTTAAAAACAAAAAAAAAAAATGCAGAGCTGCGCTTTGATTAATTCAGTGAACAAAACATATGCTGTTGGTTCTGTTCTATGAAATTCATATATGATTAATAAAATCTTTTAAAAGAGCAACTTTGGCTTTTCGGATTGTACTGCCGACCATATTCTTCATCCCAGTTAACTCTGGGCTCATACTGTTAACTTAGACAAACAAAACCACTTTCTGGTTCTGATGGTAATGTCTTTTTAATATATTTTTATCCTCTTCCTAAAATTTCTTTAGGTTGGAAGCTGTGTATTGTGGTTGTTACCCACTCTGTCCCAAAGATTTGGTTTATCCCGAAATATTTCCAGGTAGCTACTTTAATGTACTTTCGTCTTTGTTGAGATTTAATACATGATTCATGCTAAATTAGAAAGTTTGAAAATAAACTTAGGCAGGAGCAATTGTTTATTTGGCAAGTCAACATGTTAGTGTTAAGGAAAATTTTATGTGTTTTAATACATTAGAGTAAGCTTATATTTACCATCTGTTCTTTTAAGATAACAAAAAAGCAAGTTTTCAAATAGCATTCTTCATTGTTAGCATACACATCCCATAATGATGGATTTTTATAAGCAGGTCAGTGTTGCTGCAATTGCTTACAAATTTTTTTTTAATGATATACACAGAGAAAAACGGAGGACTGAAAGTCACACCAAATTATTTCAACAATTGACTAGTTAATAATATGCAACTGTTGTACAGGGTACATACGGCTGTCGTACTAGTTCTTCGAAAAAATTCTCATCACTAAATATATCACATATGCATTGTGTTACATTAGAATAATGTATTTTAATCACCCAAAGGAGATGTCTAAACAGCACAACTACACAGTCTTATTTAGCATTAAACATCCTTGTGAGCTGAGGTAACCTTATAAAATCATGCTTAAATAATGTAAAACACGAGGCGGCACAGAGCAATATGCATTTTTAATTAGTAAAGTGACTAATATCAAGTGTGTGCTTTGAGGTTTTTGTTTCATTAAAAATGTATCTGTTTTTCCTGCAGCTGAATATCTGTATTCTACACCTGAACAGCTTTCAAAAAGGCTCCAGAATTTCTGCAAGAGACCAGATATTGTAAGAAAACATCTCTATAAGGTAGTTATTGAGAAGAGATTTACGTGGTATAAATGCCATATTGAAGTACAAAGAAAAATCTTAAAAAAAAAAGACATTTAATTAACATACTAATGTTTAAAGGAAACATGCTAGGGAGGGATATTAGTTGTTACACTAACAAGGATTAATTAAACTGGATGCTAGTTGTATTAACCTAGGCCTTATGAAATACGTGCACTTAATGCACAGTACATGCTTTTTTTTTTATTTATTGTTTTCTAAGATGACTGTCCTTTACATTTAGCCCCAAGAGGCTTATAAAAATGAACCTGGATTAATGTAACTCATTAGTTTAAAAGGAAGTAAAGGAAAGATTCTACAATTATACTAATGAGGATAAGCCTTTCTTCCCATCAGAATGAAATCTTCAGTCCTCAAAAATTCAGGTGAATGACATTCATGAAGTTTGGTGTTCATTTTTTTAACTACTTTGAAGATGATTTTCAAAGAATCAAATGTTTCCTTTGTCCAGTTTAGTAAAATTACATAAAAACCCTCAGTTTGTTTAGAATTAGACTCTCAGTATCCTCTCTGAATGACAAAGGCAAAAGGAAAAGAGTTTAAATAGCATCATCATTCAGTTCCCTCATTCATTATCTCTTTTCCCTTGTTTGAATCAAGAATTTTACATTGTTGAAATAACAACACAAAGAGACCCTACTAAAAGTCTAAGTAATTGAACTGGGACAAATCTGCTTTATGAGTTTTGAAGGTGGCTCTAGGCCATGAGTAATATACCTTTTTATATTCTTTGAATGTAGCAACTTCATTTTACATAAATCCAGTATAGTTTACAATCTAGCAGTTTTATAATCCAGCATATTTTAATTTTCCTGTGTTAATATATAACCTTCCTACATGAAATACAGTTCGCTGCCTTTTTTCTCTCCTTTCCCTTGTCATGGCCTAAAATACATATTTACATAGTGATACATCAAAACATGACTCTGTTTCTGCAGGAAACAGTTAAACTTCAAGAAAAAGGGAGAGAACCAAAAATGCAATTTAACACCCAATTTCAAGCTCATTATCTTTCATTGTCTATTAACTTGGCAATGGTTCAGAAGGTAGCTCATAATAGTTTAAAATGCTGACTGAACAGTTCCAGGCTTCAGTATTACTCCTTCAGTCAATACGATTGTATCGTATACATGGGAAGCTTCAAAGAGAAAACAGACTTCCAAGGTTTACATCCAGATTTCCTAATTTTGAAAGTTCAGTCGTGGTCTTGTTTGTGTAAAATATTAATTTAGTAGTTTCCCACGTGACAGACTATCAAAATGTGCAGATTATGAAAGTGAAGAGATAGAATAATATGTATTAACACAAGTGGATTCATTTTCTACATATGACACAAAGCTATTTTCAATGAGTTTACCGTTGAATTATTGATTTTTTTTTCCTTCTGGTGAATTTTTGGGCAACATTTTTTTCAGTTTTATTGAGATATAATTGACATACTGCACTGTATAAGTTTAAGGTGTGCAGCGTAATGACAGACATATATCGTGAAATGATTACCACCGCAAGTCTTAGTTATCATCCATCACCACATATCGGTACAAAAAAGGGGGCAGGAAGGAATGTTTTTACCTTGTGATGAAAATGGTGAAGCATTGATAATTGTATTTCCACCATCAAAATTTATCCGTTTTTAATTTGGCTTTCAGGTAGGCCTTATTATTCCCTGTTATTTTGCATCTGCAAATCTTTAACCATTTCAAAAATTACTGCAACAGGTTGCTTTTAGTTACAATAAAAAACAGATCTCCAGTTGAAATATTTTAATACAGCTATTGCCGTAACATAGCTATAATTATTTATTTTACCAACAACTTCTGGAAAAACTTTGAAAGAATGTCAGCTTAGTGGTATGCTGTTAATATACCAAATTGTTCCTCCTATAGCTTAAAAGATAGCCTATACATTAAATGTTTTTTCATGTTACTATGGTTTACATATATTTTTAGTCCACGCATCCTAAAATGGTCCAGCTCAAAGTTTTATAAATTAGTGTTTCACGCATAAGCATTTATAAGAATATATATATGTAATTCCTTTTACATACTTTTTACCATGGATGTTTTTTTCTTATAAATCTATTATACACTTTAATATATGTCCTCATTCATAGGTTTTGATGACATAATATCCAAAAATTCATCTCAAAAATTAATAAATTAGTCCAAGAAATAGAAGTAATCAAGAGCTTTATAATGCAATTGTCAGGACAAACTGGTAGAAATCACAGGAAGGACCACAGATCTAGTTGGGTTGTTGTAATAAGATTTAGAGCTAAAACAGAAAAAGAATGCCTGCTAAAACTTTATAATTAAGATATAATAAGTTACACTATTTTTTTACCTTGTGCTTTATAAATATAAACATATCAGGTAACATTTGCCCTCACTAAATACCAGAGAATTATTTCCCCCAAGGCAGCTTTTTGCCTACTTCTCTTATGCAATGGAAGAGACTTTTGTGTATACTATAAAGAGAGTGTTGGGGGGTTTTTTTAGATTTGTTCCCTTGGACAGTGCTGTTTTGCTTTTAAAAACATATGCTTCTAAGATCTAAAAGGATAGAATGTCACTGAATTCTTTAATTTGCTCCTTTTACATTTTTACACCTTACTCTCTTTTTCTGTTGTTAAAAGTTTACATTTTAAAATCATCTCAACTACTTACCATGTAGAGTTCACTTTAGGATAGGATTTTTCATATGGATTCACACTTAGAAATTTAATGACTAGAATAAGGCTACTAACACTTGGCTCTCTTCTCACTTGAGACATTATACTTTCAATATGAGTGAGAGTTTGGGGGCTATAACTTGAAGCAGGATTTGAAACAGAATGCTAGTAACTGAAAAGCAGAAACAGAATTTGATACTTTTTTTTTCTTAAAGTGACTCTTCCTACTACAGAACTCTGTGCCCATGACTTCTCACCTGAAATGGTTTCAGACTTGAAATGTTTAAATTCCTCACGTGCGTGCAAGTGTGTTCCCTTTATCTCTCCCTCTCTTTTGCTCTCTCTCTCTCTCTCTCTCTTTCACACACACACACACATTTTTCTTAAAATATTTAAAGAAATACATGCAGAAACTGTTTCTTAATTATTTTAAAAACCATGTTCTGAATTTTTAAAAATCTAAAGCCATTTCTTAAAAAGTTTGCCACTAGGCTCAACCGTTGACTGCAGCTTTCTTGTACTTTCAGGACGCGTCCTTTTCTGAGTAGGTTAGACCCATTAGCCAAACACTTGCCACAGAGATAAAGTAGGTTTCACTTCATCTGGAATAGGGAGCTCTTTGATGACTCCTAAACCAAACTTGAACACAAGATTCGAGAAGTAATCATAAAGTAATCAGCCAAGGATTAACTTCTTACACTAACATCGGGCTTCCTTTTACAACCGAAGTAAGTCTAATACCGGGAAGTTGTAATTTTTGGCTCATTTTGACTATGAGAATTTACTTCCCGAAAGTTCCCAACAATTATTTGAGATCGGTACTTTGTGCTTTTAGAGAAACTTTGATCATTATATTTTTAAATGCTTTAGAAGAAAATTTATGTTCACCCCCTTGTTACTGGTATTGAAAAATAGCACAAGAGTACAAGTGGGGCAGTTGTATAAAATATATACTGCCCAGACTAACAGAATAGATTTTCATTCCCACGCTATGTTTCATTTAGTTTTATTTACAAATTGAGAGATATTCTGTGTGGGAAAAAAAAGAGATGCCATCCTTCCTTTGCTTTACGAGGGTAAACTGTAGTTTCTTAAGTTTTTTCAGATGATAGCAGCTGATTTTTATTTTGTTCTCCTCTTCAAGTTCTTCAACATTCCAGAAACCTTTATAACCTGCTGTTATTTGGAGGAGAGGGCAGTTTTCAGATTTCTGCCTAAAAGTGATTCCAAACAATGCTTAAGCTTACAATTCAGACTCAGTGCCCAGAAAAGCCATTTGTGGTTTTGTCTTAATTATATCAGGCTATATCTCCCCGAACTACAGCCAAGCCACTTTAAGGTTCCTTCAAGAGACTGGTCACTTTATAGCCCCCTTTTAATTTGAGTTTCTACTCTAGGTGTGAATAAGGTGGTACTCACTAGTATTAACACGCCTCCAAAGTCATTACTTTTTTCCTTAAAAATGAACAGTTAAAAGCTCGTGATGTTTTTAGAACTTCTAAAATCTCTCATTTGCACCAGCACAATTTAAGGCACATTCTCAGTCTCCATCTCCCTCCCTCCCCACTACTCTTCCCTCTCTCTTTCTTCACGTCTTTCCTTGATTTTGTTTTGGCTTGGTTTTTCCTTGATTTGTTTAAATAAAATAAAAGCAAAAACTCTTTAGCACAATAGATATACTCGGGGTGATTAAGATCAGTTAGAGGTTTTGGCTGCTTCTTTTTCTCTGCTACTAATCTGTAGCCTGGCTGTAGGTGAACTTCTTGGCCTCTATATGATTCATCTGTAAACTTGGAAGAATTCTTTTTTCCTTAATTTTTAATAGCATTTTCCCCCTGAGGCCCTGCTATAATGAAATAATGAATATAAACCCGTTTGTAAACTTGAAGTGCTTTATAATTTCCATGTAACAGTAATGGCATTTCTCTTGTGCCTTCACCACTTAAAAGTAAAATTCACATCCGCAAAAACGTGTATTAAGAGTGTTGTGTATCTTATGTTTATAAAAGTTAAAAGTTGGATGATAAACTTCTAATAGCTGTCATCCATAACATAAACCAGGAAATATGTGTGCAGTCAAATGTACCCATTTGCAAAAAAAAAGGGGGTAGGCAGCTTTCCCCAATGATTGGAAATACAGTTACACTTTAAACCAATCAGAAACTGGGATTTCCTGAGGTGATGAAACTCGAGAACCATTTACTTGGTGGCTTTTTGAAGTCTAATTGATATAAATTATGCAGATTTGCAATATGAATTTTCAGCATGCTTTAGTCTTTCGGGTCGTTAATGCTTCCTCATTGCTTTCTCTTCTCTCCCTCCCCCTTACAGGGTGAAATAGCTCCTTTTTCTTGGGCAGCCCTACACGGTAAATTCAGGTCTCTGCTTACAGCAGAACCTAGGGAAGATTTGTGACAGATGGGGCTAAGTCACAAACTTGCAGCCTAAGGCAGAATCTGTAGAACTTTCCAGAGTGTGCCCATATTTACCTGATCAGAGAGAAAAGAAAATCTGCAGAGGAAGCTGAGCCTGGCTGCTTGTCATAGCTGACACAGAGCCATCTGCCACAAACCTGTGGCAGCTTCAGATCTCCAATCCCTGCCACCACCCCAACTCAAATTAAATACAGATTCCTAGAGACGTTATGATGGTTACACATGTCCTCGGCATCACATGGAGGAGACTGTTCAAAAAAAATATGTGGCCTGTTGTATAACCGCACTCATGTATCCCATATGTGATGCCACATTGAATTTCCGGTTGAATCCGTTTTTATCCTTTGTACTGGATGACATGGTGCCTGAATTCTTTCTTTTTGCCGACACGATGGCAGCCAAACTACAGCTTCAAACACTCTCACTTGGCTGGGTTTCTACCTAGGTTGCCAGGTTATCATCGGAGCCTTCTTGTGTCCTCAAAGGGCCACAGGGTCTGAAAGGAGGCTCAGAATGCTACCAACTAATTGGGCAGCCATCTCAGAAATGTTTGTGGGCAAAGGTCTGCTTTAGCACTTTTCTTTTAGCAAATTAATGACTCCCTGGCACAGGGGTTTTTAAGTGAAGGTATTAATAAGGGGTCTGGCAGGTATTCCCATGATTCACAGAGTTACATTTGCATTTAATTTATCTTAAAGAAAAGTTGCAAGATAAACAGCTGTAATTCAGACAAACATGGGAAATACACTAAGTGGGGCCATCTCATCCATAAAATGAACACTGAGATACTTGTTTTAATTTTTTTCCAGGGATAAAAATAGGGAAACTAAAATACTTCTAACAAAACCAGTAATTTTGATATAAATATCCATCAAAAGTATTTGCATCCAGCTACAAATATAATCTTTTCAAGATAAATCACTTATGATTCCAATAGTCAAGCTGCTCTATTTGTTGATGTCAAGATGTTTTGAATGGCTAGATTGTAAAATAAATTTTTAATAAAGTGCCCACTGCAATTTTTAATTAACATATCTCATTTCAGTGTAAGGTGTGTACATCCATCTGTATGTTTCTCACTGAACACTTTCCTTGTGTCAGAGACAACGAATACAATTGTTTCTTTTCCGGATGAACAAGGATCTGTTTTGCAAATGTTTGTAAGATATTATGACATTTCCAAGATTTTCTTTGCATTCTGGAAAGCAGGAGGTAAACATTTGTAGTCATTAAGGTAGAGTCTGTTGATAAACCATCTTCTGTTTACTGGCAGGTAAATTGTAACTTTCCTAGCTTTTGAAATGAATAACTTCTCTAAGCTGTAGAGTGAGAAGCGGCCAGGGAGAGGGGGATAGACAAGGGCCAAGCCTGGCTCTCTGGCTTTCAGAAGGATTGAGTGGTCTAGCAGGCATCCGAGATAGAGTGGGCACTGGTTCAAAAGTCTAGTAGGGCCCATTTCACAGGTGCCAAAAGCGTAAGCAGGAAATAGATCAAGGTCAGGGGGCCAGAGAGAGTCCTCTGGATAGAGGCAGACTTGCAGGTCAGAGAAAGCAGCAGTTCAAGGCCCATGAGGTCAGGGAATTTAAAAGCAGGAAGAACGGGCTTCCCTGGTGGCACAGTGGTTGAGAATCCGCCTGCCGATGCAGGGGACGCGGGTTCGTGCCCTGGTCCGAAAGGATCCCATGTGCCGCGGAGCGGCTGGGCCCGTGAGCCATGGTCGCTGGGCCTGCGCGTCCGGAGCCTGTGCTCTTTAACGGGAGAGGCCACAGCAGTGAGAGGCCCGCGTACCGCAAAATAAAGAAATAAATAAATAAAAATAAAAGCAGGAAGAGTAAGAAGCAGGAACAACAAGCTCTGTCTTTGCACACAGTGAGAGCCATATGTGTGATGGACATCACAGCACTAGCCTTGAGTCCTCCTCCCGCTTTTGAGAAGGCACTGAACAAATTACCCCCAACCCATAAACAAAGAGCTCAGGAATTATTTGAGAAGTCCCTTCTGGTCTGAGACTGTGGAACTCGGAATCTATCAGTTATGCTCCTTTTGAGTGGAAAAGTTAAGATATAAATATGCCTAAGAGGTTCTTAAGACTATTCTCCTGCGCAGGGTTTATCATCTAAAGAGATGCTTCAGTTAGAAAGGTGCCCTATCATAGATGATGTCTCTCAAACAATATTACATGCTCACGGCCAAGAAACAGTGCTTAGTTTACTATGTTTTACTATCCTGCAAATAATGAGCTCACATTTTACAGTGAACAAGATATTACATGCACAACTATCCATATATGTTTTTCTCACTAAGTGATGGGAAGACAGCATGAATTACTGTTCAGATAGTGCATTGAAAACATTTAAATATTTGCCTGATTCTGGCAAACAAAATATTGCAAGTTACCTGTGTATGGAGGGTTTTTTTCCTACACCCATAAACTCAAATCAAATTTTGTCTTTAGCTGTGCCCAGCATTACTTCTGGAATAAAACTTTACATGAAAGTGGTCACTTCTTAAAACCATGCTGTCGGGTTTGGTATTAGTGCAAAAAAGCAATAAAAAGTTTTGTAAATGTGTAATTCTTAACATTTGAAAAGATAACTGTATCTATGTATGTGCGTGTATGCTTCTCAACAGCCATGACATGGTGGCATGGAGGGTTATTAAGTAAGTTATCCCATATTTTGTTGAAGTCAGAGGATAATCAACGGTACAAGTTGACTAGTTCCTGTTTCCCTTGCTTTCACTAAAGAGAGCAAACAGTCCCTTTGTTTCTTATTTTTAGTATGGTTGTTGAAAAAAAAATTTTTTTTTGAGCATTCAATTCTGTTCATTTTATTCTTTTTAAATTAATCATTAAACCAATTTTAATCTTAAATGTCTTTAGAAGTCCGCCCATTATCAACCTTGATACAATGTCCAGAATGCTTGCCCTGAATTTACCTAATCTGTGTTTCTGGCTAGGTGTTTCTATAATAAATAGAAGAGCATCTAGTTCTTAACTTACTCATTTATACCAGGTTAATCAGGAATAGGTCAAAAGACCTCTCCCCAAATGGTCCTGGTTTAACAAGCATCCTTCAAATACGGTTGAGTTTAAATGCCCTGCTCTAGCTCTCCGTTCTTCAGACATGCCACATAAAGATGGCAGCACAATCAGTAAGTCAGTGGAAACTCAGCCATAGAGGACTGCACAGATTCATTTCAACACCTTGAAATGCATCTGGAAGCAAAGATTTCATTTTATGTTGAAGGTGTTAATTATATTTGATATTTTTAAAAGTAAAATCTGTTTTTGAGAAAGCATCTGCTACCCAGAAATATTATGAGCCACAAAAAAATTTTCATTTAAGTCTCAAGATACTTTCTGTGGGTGATAGAATCAGTTTTCAAATGATAGTCCATGCTGTATTTTAATGTTGACATATTCTATGAGAGATATTCATATTCCTCTATTGACTATTGACAAGTATCACCCTGAGTGCCTTTCTGTTTCAGTGGAAAGCTGGAGAACATGTTTCATTTTAAAACTTGAATTCAGATACAGGACAACTGATGCTTCAATAACGTGCCCTCCCTTCGAAGTTATTCATTAAGATGTAATTGGGAAAGTTTAAAAACATGCAACAATTCTACATGATGCTCAAAGACATGTACATATGTGATTAAAGTATAACAAAAAACCTGGGAATTAACACCAAATTTACAATAATGATTAAGTCAGAGGAGTGATGGTGGGAAGACCAGACATATAACTGGGAGAGGTGTGCTTACTGTACAGTTAATCTTAAGCTGGGTCATAGCACACAAAGGTTTATTTCTACCCTTTATGACTTTTTACATGTCTTAAATGTTATTATTGGATATACCTTTTGATAGGAGCTATAGATACTTTGGTCACCATGTATAATATAAGAGCTCTAAATACTTTGCTACCGCACCATTCTTAACATTTCTAGACTCTAAACTATTGATGGGGTCAGAAAACCATTTTTCTCCAGGCAGTGAAAGAAACTGCCCTAACCGCCAGTTTTGCATGAGAAGAGTTTCCTCTGCTTATTTGGAGCCAAGGACCTAACCTTGACCCTGAAACAAACCATACCTAGGAAGAAAAACTTGACTGTCTGTGGGTTCCTTTTTCCTGGGGCTGCTGGTCACCATTTCTAACTAATGCCTGTGGCGTTATAAATATAAGATGGAAAACTATAGCTCAACAAACTCCCTTTTGAAGAGTAAAGAGAGGAAGATGTAGGAAGTTGTTATATCAGCCTGTCTTTTTTTATCTTGAAAAATTCAGAGCTCTGTGGTAGGGCACAGAGCTGTCTGAGCTGCTAACCGCTCAGCCCACTTCCTGTACTGTTACCTGTCCCCTTTCCTCTTTAAGACACAAGACTTTCATTGCCATGAAAGGACTCCTCCTAGTATCTTCAGGATGCCCTAGCTGCATTTGAGTTACGTATGACCTCAGGATCCCCACTCATCCTCTGGCCCATTTTCCTAAATTGGAATTAGGGGTCAGTACCTTCAGGGGTCCTCCCATCACTTATCACCACTTTAGTGATTCCTTATCCTCTCCCATATCTCTGTGGTAATGACTTTCAACCCTAGGGACAGGTTCATCTTGTTCCCATAAACTGATATAAAGAACTGATGTCTCCTGAGAGATAATCTAAAATGTTTACTGTGCTATCAGTTACTGCATTTAAATAGCAGACCTAAGATGGAGCGCTGGAAGATGTGATTTCTCCTAGAAGTACTTATGTAACACTTTTCTCGAGAATTTGAAGCCCTTTATATTTGAAAATGTAATGTTTTGTCATCATTTCACAAGCGAGAAAATTAAGGCATCGTATTAAGGCTTATTTAAGAGCCAGACTGCCTTATAGAAACAGAAAGATGTTTTGTATAAGTCTTTCCCTGCATGGGATAGTGTCATGGTCACCCACCTGTCTTTCAGGAAGCACGAAGTTCAGTGCTTGTGACTCACTGGGAACCCCTGGTTCCCTACTGTTTCTCCCCTCACCAGGTAGGAGAGTGCAAAGTGCAGCAGGGGGTGGCCCACGCAGTTGGTTATAGAAGGCGAACGAGAGGTCCTGTGGTGTTGCTGATATTTTAAGTGCTTTTATGTTTTTAAATTTTTATTTATTTACTTTTATACAGCAGGTTCTTATTAGTTATCTATTTTATACATATTAGTGTATACATGTCAATCCCAATCTCCCAATTGATCCCACCATTAAGTGTTTTTATTATGACCATTATTATGCCTGTAGGGAGTCTTTGGGTCTCTACATCCATCCCAGGCCCCTGCCACTCCCTGTGGCCTTACACCCTGCTGGACTTATACATCACATAAATTTCCTGGCCCTGCTGGTAAGCATTTATTTTGTAACATCCCCATTTTAGCTGTGGGGAAACTGAGGGCTCAGGTGAGGTTGAGTTGCTCTGGGTCCCATGGTGGGTCTAGAACTCAGCCTCTTTCAGGAGGTTGTGGTCAATTCAACGGGTCAAGACCATCCCTTAAAGGAGGGGAAGAGGAACATATCTGGCTGTCCATCTTTTCCCCCTTCCCTCCTTCTCCTGCTTCTCGGTATACTATCAGAAGAAATATAGATGAAGATGTTGCTAGTACCTGACTATAGATTTATTTCATGTTCCTCCTGGCCTGGCTGCATTTGTAGTCTAAGTAACCATGAGAAGAGGAATGCAAAAGGATTGATTCCTGGTCCTAAAATCTCAGACTTTGCGGTACCTGTGATGTTTCTGAACAGCTGAGTCTTCTTTATTGCCTTTCGCATCATACAAGGAGAAGTTGCCTATCAGATAGATAGAAGGCTGGCCCTTTATCCAAAAGGCAGCCCCCATGATCTCGCCCGGTGCAAGGGGCCTAGGGCAGAGGGAGCAGGTGGCATCAGTGGCAGAAGCACCTTTAATTGTGCAACATAGGGCTTGCTTCCTCTCATCCCAGATAGTAACCCAGAAATTACATCCTGAAACTTATTTCCCTAGAAAGAAAAGGAAGGGGAGGGATA